GACTCCAAAGGGTGGTTTGTTCTAACCAGGGTCTTCAAAAAGGATGTGTAGGTGGCAGATAGTGATGTACTGTAGAGATGATCTGTCACGATGCTCAGTGCTGCACGCCCTTGTGCCCTGGTAGAGCCATGGGATTGTGAAGGGCCTTGGAGGTGTAACACAGCCAAACCATTCCACCTTGATGTTTGTAGTGCCTGCACTCTGGTCATCTTAGGGACTTGGCAAGAAAAACATCATTTATTGGTAGAATTAATCTCTAGTTTGGCTCCTCAAGGTTATGGGAGGTGACAAAGGAGCAGCACTGCTCCTGTCTATGGTGGCATCATTCTTTGAGCTGCCTGGAAGTGCTGCAGCAGCTGCTCACAGAGCTTTTCTCCATCTGGGAAATGGTTGGTCTTGCTGTGTTCACTGATCCAGAACCGGTCTCCTGGTGTAAGCTGGAGACACCTGTGCTTATGGTGTGGTTAACCCATGACTGACAATCTCCGAAGCGTTAGTCCAGAACTTACCTCCAGTGAGGTTTTGGAGTGAAATAGCATTGGTGGGGGGGTGTGTTGCTCCTCTTTGTGCTGACAGAGGAGCGCAAAGAACAGGCTGAATGTGGCAGATTCATTGCTGTTGCAGTTCTGCTGTTAATGAACTCTTTGCCTGGTTCTGCAGCCATTGCCCTGATGACCACAGCTGTCATTTCTACCTGCGACCATGGCATTGTGGCGAAGATCAAGAGGGTGATCATGGAGAGAGACACCTATCCCCGCAAATGGGGTCTCGGTCCCAAGGTGAGCGGTCAGGGGGGTGCAGTCAGTCCTAGGGTGGTGGTGGGATGTCGGGATATGAGACTCCAGGCACCTCAGGCAGAGCTGTGTCTGTGTCTTCTCCAAGGCCTTGGTGTAATACTTCTGTGCTCTCATTGGAGCCAGGATGGTGGTGCTTCCCAGTGCTGGTGGGAGAGAGGTTTTCCCTCCCCAAGGAGACAGGGCAGCTCTGCCTGAGGCCCAGCTGGGGCTGCCACTGGTGCTCAGGTGTGGGCTCCTCAGGTCTGTAGAGCACCACCCCCCCTCTGGTAAAGAGCCAAATGATGTAAATTAGATGGCATTAGCACTCTGTGCAAAGATGACCTTCATCTATCACCCCATACTGATGGCTCTGGAGGGGATGGGCAAAAGAGCTGCTTTTCTTTCTGGTGCAATTGCAACAGTGCCAAAAGGTAAACTCTTGTGAGACATTATATCGTGCCTGAACGACCAGAGCAGTGGGGACACCCGTTGTTGGGTTTCTCTCCCATCTCAAGCATGTGGTAGCCATGGAAATCAGCAGGTCAGCAGTGGTAGCTTCACTGCAGCCGGACGGGTGTTTCACTGTGGCAAGTGATGCAGTTTGGACTTAAAACTCAGTGTCAAGTTGCTGTGGCTTGTTCCATTCCTGTGGTTCAGGTGAAATGTAGAAAGCACATCTATCTCGCAGCAGGTGTGAGGTGATGCAGGCCATTTCAAGCAGCATGGAGACTTTAGCAAGGCCTTGCATTTGCAGCTGGAGGGGTTCAGCTGAAATGTGGCATGTCACGAAGCTGGAGGAACTCATGCAAAGATCTGAGCTCCGTGATGTGCAGTCATCTTATTCTTGCTTGGGGGTTGGACTAGGTGATCTCCAGAGATCCCTTCCAACCCCATGTCATTCTCTGTGTTCTGTTGCTGTTACTTCCCCCACAAATTAGCCCTTGTTTACTGATAAAGACGCCTGCTGTCTGAGATTTGTAGGCTGCTGTGCAGGGGATGCTTATGTGATTTGTTCAGAAGGTCCTTGGAGAAGTGTTAAATCAGTAATGTTGTGGTTGTTGGCTTGTCTTATTCCTGGACTACCTCCTCTTAGGCCGAGTGGCTGAAGTGCCGGGGAGGATTTCTCCTCCCTGGAGCTGCAGTCTGACTTGTTGCATGTTGCTCTCAGGCCAGTCAAAAGAAGATGATGATCCAGAAGGGTCTGCTGGACAAGCATGGAAAGCCCAACGAGAGCACGCCGGATTCCTGGAAGAAGGAGTATGTGGATTACAGGTGTGTACGGGGTGTGTGGCTGGGCTGGGTGCTGCTGTTTGTGCTTGGACCATGTTAGTCCTGGCCCAAGCTGTTGACTCTCTGGACCCGTGGGGTGTGGTGGTATTTCTTGCAGTCCCAGAGAACGTCCTGCAAGTGGGCAGTGCTGGAGGGAAAGGCCCTGAGCAGACGGTTATCCCTTTCTAGCCTGTGCTTGTGGTTTTAGAGGGAGTCAGTCTGCTAAATTAAAATGGGGGAGGACCTTGCCGTTGCCCGGCCCAGCTGGCCCTGGTGCAGGCTGCAGGTCTTCCCCACACCAGCCTCCCCCTTCCCAGACAGGGAGCAGCGTGAGGCAGCCACTGTCCTGCTCAGCCTGGGGATCTTCTCTTTCAGGGATGCTTCCAAGAAAGAGGCAGCTGCTGTTCCCCAAGCTGTTTCAGAGGTGGAGAGGGCTTCAAAAGTGAGTATTGTTGGTGCTCTCTGGCTGTAAGGTTGTTTGGGCTCTGATGAAGAGTGAATATGCAGCAGTTCCTTTAGGCAGTTGGTACCAGGCTGCTTTTTGGCTGGTTGTTTTACGGGGAAGGTGCTTCATATTCTGGGAGTCCAGTGCCCCAACATGTGTTGTGGTTGCCTGGCCCATGAGCTAACTATAGGGTGACTTGTTTAGGGCCTTATCCCTGGGTGTTTTTCTCTGAGATGTTGTAATTTGGGTGCGAGTCCTGTAGCCCAGTATGAGAATGAGGAGCTCTGACTTGTGGTGTATGAGCTGCAGCATCCCAGGAAATTGGAATGCTTTAGGTGAACCTCCTGTCCAACCTGCTTTAGTTGAACCTGCTTTGGACTGGGTGATCTCAAAGGTCCCTTCCAACCCCTGTTAACTGTCCTGTAGCCCAGTATGAGAATGAGGAGCTCCGATTTGTGTACGAGCTGCAGCATCCCAGGAAATTGGGATGCTTTAGGTGAACCTCCTGTTCAACCTGCTTTAGTTGAACCTGCTTTGGCAGAAGGGGTTGGACTGGATGATCTTCCTGTAGCCCAGTATGAGAATGAGGAGCTCTGACTTGTGGTGTATGAGCTGCAGCATCCCAGGAAATTGGAATGCTTTAGGTGAACCTCCTGTCCAACCTGCTTTAGTTGAACCTGCTTTGGACTGGGTGATCTCAAAGGTCCCTTCCAACCCCTGTTAACTGCAAAGTTTGATTAAATCGGGCAAAACAGTTGCAACAGGCTTGCAAACAATTCTCCCATCGCTTGAGCTCCTTTGGAAGATGATGTGTCTGACAACCTGTTCCCCCAACAGAGGAAGCGAGAGTCGGAGAGTGAAAGTGATGAGGCTGTCACCCCACCATCCCCTGCCACCCCACCGCCAGAGGAGCTGACCAAAAAGGAGAAGAAAAAGAAGAAGAAAGAGAAGAAGGCCAAAGAGGCAGCTGAGAGTGGAGGAGAGCAAATAGAAGTGGTATGTGACTGGGTGGTGGCATGGGAGAGGTTGCTGTCTCTCCCTAATACCTCCAGGATAAACGCATCAGCATCCTGCTCTGCATGTCCCCAGTGTCCTACACTTCCCACAGGCAGATGAAGATGTCTGTATAGAGGCATTTGTAAACTGAACTGGTTGAGGGTGGTGGGAGGTCAGGCAGGAGAGGCTTGTGGGGGCTGATCTGCAGCAGGGCATGAAACTGGTTGAGGGTGGTGGGAGGTCAGGCAGGTGAGGCTTGTGGGGGCAGATCTGCAGTGGGGCAGGGATCCCCCATCCCTATGCCCGAGGGTTGCTGGTGGGTACACTGTTCTGCCAGGCCACCTCTGTGCCCTGGTGGCCTGTAACGGGCCCTGGTGGGGAGGATGGTGGCATTCAGTTGGGGTGCTTGTACGGTGGTGAGGGAGGATTGTGGCCGTGGGGAGCCTCCACTGTGTCTTAAGTGGGGCTGTTCCTCCTGAAATCAGCAGTTGGACGTTGCAGGGGGGACATTCCTTTTTGATTCCTTCCTGACCTCTCCAACCCCTTCACAGGCCAGTGAGCCCAGCACCAAGAAGAAGAAGAAGAAGAAACAGAAGGAGGTAGAAGAGAGCTCAGAGTAAGCAACTGGATCTGTCCAAAGCAGGCGACCTCATCGGTAGAGAAGGGAGGAGTCTGAGGCCTTGAGAAAAAGAGGACTGGCCACATGGCAGAGGGGCCAGCAGGTCCCGAGCTCCTTTTCTGCTGTGTATAGGAGTGAGCAGGTGTGTTTGTCCAGGATACACCCTGCTCGGGTCCCCCTCCTCATCCTGTTTTAAGGGTCTCCAGAGGAGTGGGGTGCCTGACTGCCCCTGCGCTGGATTGCTCTCTAAAGCTGAACACCACGATGCCAATAGAAGTGGTATCTTCAGGGAAGCTGTAGCTCCTGGCTCTTGGTGTCTCTGTTTTTATCTTGAGAGGGAGGAATAACGTTTCTCCCCCTTTTTTCCTGCCTCTTTCTTCCTTTTCTTCCAAGGTTGGAGCTGTTACCTGACAGTCACAGAATGTGTTGATATCTGGAGGACTGGCTTTGTCACAGCCCATTTGAATCAATTTGGATGGGGACGATCAACTGGTTATTTGAAGGGCTCTGGTTGGTTTTAACCTCCAGTATGCTTGGCTTGACCTTCAGCTAGAGGAGATCAAATAGTCCACCCAGATAGTCTTCGGTACTTTTTTTTTAACTTTTATCATGAAAGGATTAGAACATTAAATTCCTTCTTTTTGCTTTATAGTGCTGGGACCCGCTTGTTAGTTGTCAGCTGATCCCCAGACCCAGTGCCCCAGTGACCGTCTCAGTGTGTCCCTCTTGCTGGCTCTTTGCTTTTCTCTACCCAGTTGGAATGGGACAGCAATGCTTTCAGCTGCCTTCTGTTATTTTGATATCTAATATACCCAGTTGGAATGGGACAGCAATGCTTTCAACTGCCTTCTGTTATTTTGATATGTAATATGCTCTGAAGGCTGGAGGTGGGGATGCTGCTGGGGGGGCAGAAGTGAAGTGACCAGAAGGCAGCTGGTCACTGCTTTTCTAAAGGGGCTGTTGGGACTGGAGTCCTTGTGAGGAAGACCTTGGCCAGAGGCAGCTTTGCAAGGGACACTGGGTGTGGGGCTTGAGCGGTTTCAGAAAGACTTGTCCTAATTTCCTGATCTGGGGTGGCTGGCTGGGGGTGGGAGGTCTCTCCTTTCTCACAGGGTAGCACTGAGCCAGGATTTTTAACCTCTTTTTAATGGGGAATGATTCAGGCTGCTTTGTTCTGAGTTTCATCCCTACAGAGATTCTGTAACGGTTGTTTTAGCCTTGTGCATTGTTTCTGTCTTAACCATCTGACTCTTCTCCTCTCCAACGCTAGAGATACACGCAGGCAGTAGGGCCAGCAGCTGGTGGCTGTCAGAACCCGAGCAGAAAGGATAAAGTCCGTTTTTATTTACTCTTTTTTTTTTTTTACATAAAAATAAAAGCCCTATTTTTGAACGGGTGATTTTTCTTGCTCATCTGGCTCTTAAAAGAGGTCAGTGGTCTGTTCGTGGGGAGGGGAGGCAGCTCGATGCATGTTCATGCTCCAGCTGGGCAGGTAAAGGGCTGCCCCTTCTGCCCAGCCTTCATGCTGCTCTCCTGAGGAAGCTCCTGGTGCAGAGAAGTGGTCTTGTTGATGTGGACCTAGAGGGACCTTTGTTGCTGGTCAGGACTTTACAGGTGCTTAGGGACCACTCTCCAGTTTGGTAAAACCCACTGGGATGTGTGACTGGAAGCTGGGTGTTCTCTTTCCCTCTTTGACTGTGCTGGAGTGGTCTGATGGTGGCTGGAGGGACTGTTTGGTACCAACCTTGGTGTATTGGGGTCAGGGTGGTGGGAAGAGACTTCCAGCTGTGAGCAAGCACTCAGGCTAAGAGGTAAAACACCAGTCAGGGCAATGTTTCAGCACACATTTATTGCTGCTCATTGTTTCCCTGCAGTGGATCAGAACGAAGGTCCCTATTGCACATCAACAGATTTTATTTTTGGCATCCTTAAAAAAAAAAAAAAATAATAATTGCACAAGACTTCTTATTCCCTTTCCCCTTGCTGACTGCTGAACACACAAATGAGATTCTTTCACCTAAAGGATGGCTATGGCTTGCCCGGGAGCCATGGTGATGCTTCCCGAACATGGTTGTGGTGGAGTTTGTGTGTCAGAAGAAGGAACCCCCTTGGTGTGGGTGGCTTATTGATGTTTGCATACAGTGTGCCAGACACCCTAGACTCTGGAAAGACATGCCTGGGATGATCTTTGTAGAGATGCTGTTTCTACTGCATGCAACAAACACGTGTGGCTGCATCTAATTTACCCATGGAACTGTCCCTCTGGTGTTTGGTCCGTGGGACTTCCCTCAGCTGCTGCCGAGGGTCTCCGGCCAGACAGCAACAATCCAAGCTGCACGGTGAGAATTTAAATACGGTGAGTTTTGGTTTTTTTAACAACTACAGTTGCACAGGGTGAATCAGGAACACTCCAACTTCAGAACATGGGATGGGACCTGCCTGGGGTGGGGGGGGTGGCATGCTCCATGCTGCCTTTGTCACATCCAGTCTTGCTCTTCCCATTTTTGAGGGGAAACCCTTGGATGTAGGAGCTCTGGTGTGGTGTGTACGAAGCTTCATGGGCACCAGCTAGGCTTTTGAGGTTTTTGTGGTGCTCTATGTCCTCCTGCCATGGCAGAGGACATCTGCCTGGAAAGCCCCTGCTCTACCACTTTCCTTGGGACTGATGTGGAGAAGATTGGCTGAGGACTGTGCTTTTCCTTGCCTGGCAAGGTGGGGAGCTGTGCTCTGAGCTATTGGGGTGCCCCAGCCTCTGCTGGAGGTGGCTGTCCCCTGGGCAGCCCCTTTCCTTTGTCCCCCAGGGAGAGGAGATCCAGAGACCCTGTGCGTGTGTGTCAACCAACTCAAGACCATGTCCGTGGAGCAGCAGAGGAAGGGAGTTGTGCTTGGCTGTGTGTGGATCGGGGGAAGCTGAGGAGGAGGTTTCTCCTCATGGCTGCAGGATGGTTGATGGGAAGCGGCTGGGGTCGGATGCCCTCTCAGTAGACCCAGGAGACGGGCACCCACTGTGGAGAGCTGCAGGCCTGCTCAAAGGCTTCCTCCAGCAGCTGGAGGCTTTCTTCCACCCCGTTGTTGACCAGCGAGAGGTCAAAGTAGTGTGCGTATCGGCTCCGGATGCTCTCGGAATCCTTCCGGAGCTGCTGCAGCGCCTCTGACTGCAAGAAACCAGAGAGAGAAAGTGAGATCAGGAGGCTGGGGAGGAGGGGGATTTCACAGCCCACCCCAACAACCAAACTCCCACCACAAAAACAGCTCAAGTGGTTGCACAGAGCATCTCTGCAGGCTCTGTGACAAGCTGGGAGCTGTTGTGTGATCTCTAGGAGCATGTGTCTGGGGCTTTTGCTGGACTTCTATGCAGTGCCAGGAGCATCTGGTCACCTGCTGGTGATCCCAGGCCTTCTTGGTCTTGGGTTTATCTTTAAAAAGCTTTAGGGCAGCTCCCTGGGAGGAGAAGGTTCCCCAAGCAGCAGGATGCTCATTATTACGCTGTGCGGAGCAGCAGCTCAGGGTCTAAGGATGGTTTCAAGGTAGGATCCCTGCAGGATGGTACCTCCTCACTGGCTTTTGCCCAGAGCAGCGCTGCCTGACAGAGCTGTACCAGCCTCCCTATGCTGTTTTTGGCTGGGATGGAATTACCTTTTTCATAGCAAAAGCAAAGCTGCCTGCTTTCTCCTGCCGGTGGGGGGGGTAGCCTGCACAGCTCCCCAGCTCACAGGGACATCCCAGGAGTGTGTCCCTGCCAGCAGTTGTGCCCTCCACAGCGAAATCCAGGCAGATTTCCATGTATCTCCCTAAGACAGCTTGAAACGCAGACGTTTCCCTGGGGAGGGATGAGCTCAGGGTGCTGTGCCCCAGCCCCTCTTCTGGAGAGGGAGAGGGGAGAGCAAGGAGCAGTTCTGCCAGGGTCATCTGAGCTCTGCTGGGCCACGTTTTGGGCACATTTTGGCTCTGCTGCATCCCTTCTCACAGGCAGTTACCTGGGCTGCAGCAGGGAGCTATATATAGTGCCTGCGCCAGCGGGGCTGGCCCTGCCCACTGCGGCAGATTTTATTTTTGGCATCCTTAAAAAAAAAAAAAAATAATAATTGCACAAGACTTCTTATTCCCTTTCCCCTTGCTGACTGCTGAACACACAAATGAGATTCTTTCACCTAAAGGATGGCTATGGCTTGCCCGGGAGCCATGGTGATGCTTCCCGAACATGGTTGTGGTGGAGTTTGTGTGTCAGAAGAAGGAACCCCCTTGGTGTGGGTGGCTTATTGATGTTTGCATACAGTGTGCCAGACACCCTAGACTCTGGAAAGACATGCCTGGGATGATCTTTGTAGAGATGCTGTTTCTACTGCATGCAACAAACACGTGTGGCTGCATCTAATTTACCCATGGAACTGTCCCTCTGGTGTTTGGTCCGTGGGACTTCCCTCAGCTGCTGCCGAGGGTCTCCGGCCAGACAGCAACAATCCAAGCTGCACGGTGAGAATTTAAATACGGTGAGTTTTGGTTTTTCAACAACTACAGTTGCACAGGGTGAATCAGGAACACTCCAACTTCAGAACATGGGATGGGACCTGCCTGGGGTGTGGGGGGGTGGCATGCTCCATGCCGCCTTTGTCACATCCAGTCTTGCTCTTCCCATTTGTGAGGGGAAACCCTTGGATGTAGGAGCCCTGGTGTGGTGTGTGTGAAGCCTCACGGGCACCAGCCAGGCTTTTGAGGTGTTTATGGTGATGTATGTCCTCCTGCCATGGCAGAGGACATCTGCCTGGAAAGCCCCTGCTCTACCACTTTCCTTGGGACTGATGTGGAGAAGATTGGCTGAGGACTGTGCTTTTCCTTGCCTGGCAAGGTGGGGAGCTGTGCTCTGAGCTATTGGGGTGCCCCAGCCTCTGCTGGAGGTGGCTGTCCCCTGGGCAGCCCCTTTCCTTTGTCCCCCAGGGAGAGGAGATCCAGAGACCCTGTGCGTGTGTGTCAACCAACTCAAGACCATGTCCGTGGAGCAGCAGAGGAAGGGAGTTGTGCTTGGCTGTGTGTGGATCGGGGGAAGCTGAGGAGGAGGTTTCTCCTCATGGCTGCAGGATGGTTGATGGGAAGCGGCTGGGGTTGGATGCCCTCTCAGTAGACCCAGGAGACGGGCACCCACTGTGGAGAGCTGCAGGCCTGCTCAAAGGCTTCCTCCAGCAGCTGGAGGCTTTCTTCCACCCCGTTGTTGACCAGCGAGAGGTCAAAGTAGTGTGCGTATCGGCTCCGGATGCTCTCGGAATCCTTCCGGAGCTGCTGCAGCGCCTCTGACTGCAAGAAACCAGAGAGAGAAAGTGAGATCAGGAGGCTGGGGAGGAGGGGGATTTCAGAGCCCACCCCAACAACCAAACTCCCACCACAAAAACAGCTCAAGTGGTTGCACAGAGCATCTCTGCAGGCTCTGTGACAAGCTGGGAGCTGTTGTGTGATCTCTAGGAGTGCGTGTCTGGGGCTTTTGCTGGACTTCTATGCAATGCCAGGAGCATTGGGTCACCTGCTGGTGATGCCAGACCTTCTTGGTCTTGGATTTATCTTTAAAAACCTTTAGGGCAGCTCCCTGGGAGGAGAAGGTTCCCCAAGCAGCAGGATGCTCATTATTACGCTGTGCGGAGCAGCAGCTCAGGGTCTAAGGATGGTTTCAAGGTAGGATCCCTGCAGGATGGTACCTCCTCACTGGCTTTTGCCCAGAGCAGCGCTGCCTGGCAGAGCTGTACCAGCCTCCCTGTGCTGGCTTTGGCTGGGATGGAATTACGTTTCTTCATAACAAAAGCAAAGCTGCCTGCTTTCTCCTGCCGGTGGGGGGGGTAGCCTGCACAGCTCCCCAGCTCACAGGGACATCCCAGGAGTGTGTCCCTGCCAGCAGTTGTGCCCTCCACAGCGAAATCCAGGCAGATTTCCATGTATCTCCCTAAGACAGCTTGAAACGCAGACGTTTCCCTGGGGAGGGATGAGCTCAGGGTGCTGTGCCCCAGCCCCTCTTCTGGAGAGGGAGAGGGGAGAGCAAGGAGCAGTTCTGCCAGGGTCATCTGAGCTCTGCTGGGCCACGTTTTGGGCACATTTTGGCTCTGCTGCATCCCTTCTCACAGGCAGTTACCTGGGCTGCAGCAGGGAGCTATATATAGTGCCTGCGCCAGCGGGGCTGGCCCTGCCCACTGCGGCAGGAGTTAATTCCTCTGGCTGGAGCCTGCAGTGGGTGACGAGGTTGGGGGGGAGACACGGAGGTGGGGGGGCAGGAGTTAATTCCTCTGGCTGGAGCCTGAGGTGGGCGACATGGAAGTGGGGGGGGACACGGAGGTGGGGGGATAGGAGGCTGCCTCACTGCCCTTTCAGCCCTGATGTTTGCCCCCCCTCGTCCCTCCCAGCCAGGCTTTACAACCCTCTGCAGGTTAACGTGCCTCTGAAGGCTGCATAAATACATCCATCCTGCAAACTGTATCTTAAAGCTTTATGGACCCCAAATTAATAGGTTGGGGAGAGGTGGATTTGGATGGCCACGCGTCCAGGAGTGGCACAGCTCTGTGGGTTCCCCCCTTCTCCCATAGTTTCCCCTCTCCCTGTGGAGTTATCCCTGTGGGGAGCTGCTCCAGGATGCAGGGCAGGGAAGGCATCACTGCTCCCAGCCCTGTAGCTGCTTGGCACTGCGTGAGTTAATCGCTGCCGCTTTCATCCTAATTTTGGAGGGATGAGCATCTTAATGAGGCAAAGAATGAAAGGAGCTGCTGTCTGTGTGTCTCCATTTGCATAGCTGATGGCAGGATAACTGTTCCTGCTCTGCGGCAGCGCTGCAGCTGGAGAGGGCTCTGGGTGCTGGGGCTGTGCACCCCACTGCACCCCAGTTAGCAGCTGATTATGCTGCAGGGATGATGGTTACTGGGGGGGGTGTCAATCTGGGAGAGGGTCTAGGGGTCAGGAATCACCAATTCCTGTTTCTCAGGTCTGAGCTGAGGAAGCTGCCCTGCTCTCTAGGACCACAAAAATCAACAGAGCCAGGAAGAAGCTGATGTGGAGCAGGGAGAGAGCCCTGGGCTGCTCCGATGGGCTCCTCACCCCCGCCCTGCCATGGGGCAAGTGAGCCCAGCTGGAGGGGGGACTCGGCTTTGGGACCACCCACCTCCTCTGCCTTGTCTGTTGGGGCGATGAAGACTATGAATGGGGAGAGCTCAGCCGTGCGGACAATCTTCAGGGTCTGTGGAGAGAGGGGTGAAGTTACCAGCTTGGCCATTCCAAGAGTGGGAGCACCCACCACACCCCACACTGTCCCCCACCACCCCCCACGCTGTCCCCAGCCGGGGTGTGATGGTGGCCGTGATGCAGTGATGGGCTAAAGGGCTCACTGGGGCTATGGGCTCTCTGGGTGGACTCCTGAGCATGGAGGTAGTTGGGTGACATTGGGGGTAGTTGGGTGAAGCTGGAGCATGGATCCCAGCATGGTTTCTCCCACACTTCATGGGGAGGACCTAAGGGCAATCTCAGCCCTGCTCTGGGCTGGCTGTTGGACACAACCACCACTTCGCAAAGCAGCGCCCACGTGCTTGGTGTCGGAGAGGGAAAAGCATCCCTATGGGGGGGCACATGCTGGCCCTGCACCCCAACTCCCAAAGCAGCACAGCCCTGGCCTTGCTGTCACAGCCAGGGTGGGGAATACCCTCCCTGCACCCACATTTTGGGAAGGGGAATGCCACCCCAATGCTCCCTGGCTTTTTTCCTTTGGGAAGGGCAGGTGGGCAGCACACCAGGGAGGGCAGGGACAGTCACAGCCAGCACATGGGTAGTTCAAATCTGTCCTTCCCACCCCTTCCCCTGCTCTCTACCTGGGGCTCGATGTCCAAAATAGCGACTTTGTCCTGCTGGTGGATCTTGTGCACTGTTTCAAACTTGGTGCCAAACATGTTTCCCTGGTAGCTTCCAAACTCCAGGAACTCGTTGGCTGAGATGTCCCGGGTCATCTCCTCGGTGGAAACAAAGTAGTAGTCCTTCCCGTCCACCTCATTCTTCTTCTGGGGGCGTGTGGTGTCTGGGGAAGGAGGGAGATGGTGAGTGCTGGCCCCCAGAAGGACTGGGGAACAGAGTGGAGCAGGCAGCCTCTGCTCTGGGTGACCTCGGCATCTTGCCTTCCCTTTTTGAGCATGGGAGTAGGGGACGGAGGACCTCTGTAACTCAAGACTAGGCTGTACTAATCCCCTTTCAGCTCCTTCCTGCTTGGGACGAGCAGGGAACTCAGCCAGTCCAAGGAGAAGCATTGGGATGTGAAGAGTGAGGCATCTCTGCAATGTGGGCAGGAGCAGCCCTGCAGCCATCATGGGTAGGTTCAGCCCACCACATCATGGGACAGCAGGCAGGGATGCCCTATGGTGCCCTGTGTGGTGGCCACTGCCACTGGGGGCTTGGTGGCACTGGAGGAACATCTCCCCACCTCCCATCTGCTGTCTGAAGGTCCTGGCTAAAGGAGGTGAGAGGAAAAGTGCCCTGTGCTGTGCCCTCCACCCTGGCTGGGTACTTACATGGGGGTGGGTACATGAACTTATCCGGGTTATTGCTGAGCAGAGCGTTCTTGATGTGGCTACGGCCCACACCGCTGGCTCCTGCAGAGAAAGAGGGATGGACACTGGAGGTGAGCTCAGAGAAGCCTGGCAGGAGATGCTGGAGCCCCGCTTCAGCTCTGTGTCTGAGGAAAAGTGCAGAGCTCCTGGGGCCTGGCGCAGGATCTGCTTTCTGAGCTGGTCCATGGTGTCTTCTAGCCCTGGAAGAGGTTCTCCCTGCCCTGGGCATGCTCACCTCCAGCCCCAGCTGGAGACAGGACAGGTTCCTGCTGAGCAGCCACCATGGCTGGGCTGCGTGGGCTCCTCATGTTCTATGGGGTCCACTGACAAGCTCTCAGCACCCACGGCGTGGGAGTGCTTCCTTTGGTGCAGCTGCAGAGCTGCTTTTAATAAAAATTATCCATAAAGACACTTAGAAGCTGGAAACTCCTGAATTAACTCTACCTCAGCATCACAGTGCGGGTGCCAGACCATGCACAGTGACACACGGAGGAGGTCAGCCTGCTTGGTGACCACTGCAGGCAGAAGAAACGCTCCCCAGAGCTTGCTAGGTTTTGAAGGACAGAGCTGCCCCAGTCCTGGTTCCCTTCCCTGGACCCACCACAGGCAGCACCTGAGCTGCAGAGGATGCCCTGGGGCTGGACCTACCGATGAGCACCAGAGTCTTCCTCTTGAAGGCAGGCAGCCTCACCACCTCCTCGTAGGAAACCACATCCAGCTGGTCAAAAACTGGGGTGGAGGAGAAAGGAGACAGTGAGTGGTCAGAGCTGGCTTGGCCGCCGCAGCAGCAGGACCAGGCACGTGTCAGACCAAAGCCAGGTCCTCGGGTGAAATGGAGGGAGCCATGAGGACTGGGCTGGGAGCTCATCCCCGTTTGGCCACTCAGGGAATAAGGGCAGCAGCCTCAAGTAAGCAGGTGAGGTGTGGAGGGGGTGCTGGGCGACCACCAGTAGCCACCCAAGGGGAAGGCAGGGCTACTCTGGCTCAGTCACTCTGCTCAGGACAGCAGGACCTGGGAGCTGGGGTGGGGAGGTGACAGGACGCTGCAGGGAGCTTGTTGCTGGGGGAGCTTTATTTATCTTGCTGATTTACAGCCTTGTTTATTGCTGGTTGGAGCTGCAGGCCGGGCCGGGAGCCAGCACGTCCTCAGGCACCCGCCTTTGCTGGCCCAGGGCAGGCTTAGCACAGTCCCTGCCTCACCAGGGACACGGCTTGGCAGCTGTGGGGACCATTCGGGCTGCTTCCTCATCGCTGAGCAGCAGCAAGGCCACCGCCTGCCCTGTGGAGTTTGAGGGTCCAGGAGCCTGACCTCCCGAGGAGCTTGGGGCCAGGAGTGTCAGGGATTGTCACCAGCCCCAGCCTCATGCACTACAGAACTGCCTGGGGACACAGCTGTGGCCACCTGAAGGATAAGAGGACTTTGGAGAAGGGTCTCCAAAAGCTGACAGCTGTGGGGTATCCTCCCCACTGCCAACCCGGCCAGGCTGTTCGGTGTGACTCCCGTGGAGGACAGACCCCTCCCTGCCCAGAGGCAGCAGTGATGGCCAGGGCTGGGGATGGAGTCCATCGCTCTGCTGGTACTTACTTGAGCTGTGCTTGGCCAGGTATTTATCTTTGCACTTCTTCTTCTTCCCAAAGGGGCTACAGCTCGGGGATTCGCTCTGGCTGGACTGGGTGACGCTCGCCACACGCCTGCCGAGAGAGGAGGATACCACCGTGGTCCAGCTGTCACCCCAAGCCCTGGGGGAGCAGCAGGATTGTCCCTCACACATGGAAGGACAAGAGGAGCAGGGTGGCTACTGGGACAGGCAAAGGCTCACCCTGTGGCAGATAAAGGGGACATTTGCCTCCTTTTCCCAGCAGTGATGCTGGTGTTACTCAACGTGCTCACACTCCTGGTAGCACATGGTCACTGTTCCCACCTCCACTCTTACATCCAGCCCTTCTGGCCAAATCCAGGGACCTACCACTCCTGCAGCTCCGGAGAAGGGATGAGTCCCGCCGACTCGGTGCAGGAGCCCTCCACCCGGCCCTGCCACCAGTTGCTGTCGTCCTTGTTTATGATCTGAATCACGTCGCCGGTCTGAAACTTCAGCCCCGCTTCCTTGCAGGGGATCAGGTTGTCTTTTTTGGGGTCGTAGTCAAACTGCGCCCTCATGAACATCTGCAAAAGAGAGAGGAGGAAGGAGTCAGCATGGGCATGCAGGGTGGCTGAATTTAGTCCAGTCCAGCTCCTGGCCCCATTTGGCATCCCCCAAAGTGATGGCAGAGCCAGCTCCAGGCACAAGGTCCCTGCTCCACGAGGGACCCCAGACATGAGGGCCAGGTGGGGAGAAAGGAGAGGCACAAAGCCTTTGGGGAAGCTCTTGGGCATGGAGCTGCAGTGAGACACGCTGGTGGGTGAGGGAAGGAGGATGGTGGCATCTTGGCCTTACTGGAAACCACTGAAATGGCACCTAGGCAGGCCTTCATGCCCCACAGCTGCTGCTCGAATCCTGACATGTCCCCTGGGTGTTGCACAAACCAGCTGGAGATGAGTCCTACCACCTAGACCAACATGGTTGACAGTAACAGGGGTCTGCAGTGGGGTGAGTGAGAGGAGCCATCACAGTCCCGTGTCCTGGGGACCCCAGGGAAGACCACATCTTGATGCCCATCTGCTGTGCCCTGGGCTCTCCCCAGCACCGGGCACTCCCCTGCATGGCATGGGGCATTTGGGGAGCCAAGGCTGCTGTGGCATGTCCATCCCTGCCTACAACTGTCCTTCAGTATCTTCAGCATCAGCTACTCCTGCAATTTTACGTTCATCACAGCTGCAACTGGAAACGAACCGCTGCTGCTTCCCAGGCCACCGTGCCACCCTCCCGGGGCTGGAAAAGCCCTGGGGACCAGGAAGGCGTGAGAAAGTGGCCTTTCCCTGTCCCTTCTGCTTGCTCAGCTCTTTGGGAGGGAGTTCACAGTGCCTGCTCCCCCCGGGGCTGCCCACCCTGCTGCCTCCCCATGGCCTCAAGCCCTCCTGAAACCAGCAGGCAGCCGGGCACCCCTGAGCTCCCACTGCCCCCCCAGCATCTTTGCAAGGTCAGGAGAGAAACAGCCTGTGGCTTTCACACATGGACCTTGTTTTCCAGGAAGGCTGTTCAGGAAGAACAGACCGTCAGAGAGCGACAGGATGGATGAGAGTCACCTGTCCCCGGGAGGAGGGCTGACCACGCATGCTCACCCAGCCTTTTCTCCACCACCGCTTGCTCTCAGTGCCTGGATGAACAGTTTCTCCTCTGAAACTCTGCTGCAGCTGAAATTTGTCTCTGGCCAGTGCACCCAGCAAAACCCCAACCAGACCAGGAACAGCGTGGGGGCAAAGCCAAGGCAGGGTATGGAGGATGGGGAGCCAAAGGCAGGGTTTTGGGAACAAAGTAAGGCTGTGGCTAAGCACAGACCTCACATTGCCCTTCTTCCTCTTCTTGGGTCTCTTGTCCCTGCAGGGTTTTCTACAAGTCATGGGTGCTCCCTGTTGTTTGAGACTTCTGTGATCACTCAGGATGGTTGGGGGGCCACCCAGCAGCCTGGGGCTGCCCAGAAGTCGTGCCACCAGCAGGAGATCCTTCTCCAGGGGAAGCTGCACTATCAGACCCAGCCTCACGTTCACACTAATGCAGGCTTCCCCCGAGCACAACCCTACCAAGTTACTTATCCCAGAAACACAGCAGGCAGCAAGCAGGCAAAGGGAATCACACGGGGTGACGCCTATGTCCTGTCCTCAAATGTGATAGGAAGGGCCTGGAAAGCCTTCCTCCCTGGGTAGGGTAGACCACGCTGTCCTTGTTCCACATTAAAACAATTTTGCACAGAATATCCTTCTTCAGTAGCACTGCTGGAGGCACAGGGCCAGCAGGACATGCACAGGGTCCCTTCCCTTGCACTGCCAGAAAAGCAGAGCATATGGATCAAGCTGTGTCACGAGAGCTCTCACAATAGAAGACAACAAAAGTGGAATCTCCTTTCAGGATGAGGACGAATGCTTGCTTTGAAAGCGCTCTCTGGCACCATGAAGCTGGTCATCAGCACAAGGAACACACAGCAAGCACTGCCCGGGCATCTGCCCGGAGCCCTCTGCTCCCACAGCCCTGGTACCCCAAGCCAGACACAGCCAGGTCACTTTTGGAAAGACCCTCCCTTACACCAGTTAGGAGTTGGCATCAGACAGCTCCAGACATCACCCACAGACTGCAAAGGGCCAGCTCCAAATGCCAGCTATTTGCCTGCCTGCTGCTAGCCCCCGCTTCGGGGCTAGAAGCCCAGGTACTGGGCAGGCTCCAGCATGAGAAACCCTGGTCTTTGAAGTCAAAAGGCTGCAGTTTGAGCCTGGGAACAGGTTGGTGACTACCCCAGGAGCTCTGAGCGCATCTTCTCATTCCCAAGCAGACCTGTCCCAGGAGACACTCAGTTGCCCTCAAAGTGGCTGGCTGCCAGGCTGCGGGGCAAGCCAGGGCAGGGGGGTCATCATCTTGCCAGCATCTGACCCTGTCCTGCCCACCAGACCCTGAAATGAAGGTGACCACGGGGATCCAGGAGTCAAAACGAAAAATCAAAGTCCACTTTTGGTGGCGGACTGCAACAAGCAGAGAAGTGGGCAGCCCCTGAGCTGTGGTTCTGGGGAGCAGGCAGCACCATGGCCCCAGGAGGACAACTGTTGCTGGGAAGGAGTTTGTCCCTGTGTCCTTCCCTGAGCCCACGGCCAGACTCGGGTGAGCTGGCAACCGTGTTCTTCTTCTCAGAGGTAACTTCTCCCCTGGTGCTGAGCTGGCCTGGCCGATCGGAGCTGGCTGGGCCAGGCTAGGAAAGGGCAGACATGGGCCACTGTTTAATAAACAGACACGTGGCAAGGCTGGTTGAGCTTGAACGGGGACAGCATGGGCTGAGTGACAAACGGAGACAAGTTTTCCCTTGCCACCACGTTCAGAAACTTCAACGTAAGGAAGGAGAGCGGCATGGGCTCCCCCAGCCCACCCCAGCACCATCCAGCCCCCACCTCCTGCCTCTGAGCTCCTCTCCCACTCCTGCCTGTCTCCTGCATCGGGAGACACGACAAGCATCCCAGCCACCACGCACTGAAGTCTTGGCAGAGGAGCCAGCCCTCCCCACCATCCCCAGTACTTCGGCCACAGCAGGACTCCAAAGGCAAAGCCAGGCAGGTGTCACCCCCTGCCACAGCACTTCACCCCCACTCTGGCAGTGGCAGCAGGCCCCCCAGCCCCACCCAGCCCCCCCCTCCTGCCTCTGAGCTCCTCTCCCACTCCTGCCTGTCTCCTGCATCGGGAGACACGACAAGCATCCCAGCCACCACGCACTGAAGTCTTGGCAGAGGAGCCAGCCCTCCCCACCATCCCCAGTACTTCGGCCACAGCAGGACTCCAAAGGCAAAGCCAGGCAGGTGTCACCCCCTGCCACAGCACTTCACCCCCACTCTGGCAGTGGCAGCAGGCACAAGGAGCTGCCTTCCTCCCCCCTGACACCGCTTCCTTCCTCCCCCTCGCTGCTCACAGGCGTGCTGGTGGCATCCGGACCTACGTCACCCTCCTCGGGGCTGATGCTCCGGGTGTCAGTGATGGTGGGGAGCAGCCAGAGCCCGGTGCTGCACCTGCTGTGGCCCCTGTAAAGGGGATGTGGCTCTAACGGCCGTGTCTCTGAGGGTGGCAGGAAACTCTCTCACCCTTCCTGGTGTGCACACATGCTGCTGCTCTCCCATCACCAAACGCTGTCCCCATGTGCAACCGCGGCGCAGGCATGCCAGGTTCCTCTGTCTACATTGGGTAAATGCATCCTCACAAGGCCAAAATCTACTCGTTTGCAGCAATGTAAGCACAAAACAGGTTCCTTCATCCTCCAGCAGCTCAGGCAAGGTGACTGGGCCACCGTCCCTTTGTCCTTCCCCTGGTTCAGCACAGATGCCCCCCAAGGTTTGCTCTGGTCCCCCCCTGGTCCCACTGCCATATCCCAAGCACATCCCACGGGGTCTGGAGGCTGTACTTACCTGGAGAGCAGGGAGGCGGCTTTGTTGGTTGGGAATGACTTTTATTGACACCATCCCCTTGGTTTCTTTCTAGTGAACAAAGGAAGGGGAGAAAGAAGAGTTGGAGAAGGTGGTGTCTGGAGGCAGCTCAGCAGCAGCAACCCGGTCAGGGAGCTGCTGAGCACCAGGACCTGCAAAGGCAAGACTCCTGGGTGCTCCCAGCTGTGATGGGATGTTGGAGGACACCACAGCCTGGTCACAAACAGCTCTGCTGGGGCTGGGCTAAGAGCCGTGGCAGCATAGCTTTGCCATGCTCATCCCAATCCTACAGGGGAACACCAACACCCCCACAAGGGGCTGGCTGTGGGCACTGCTAAGCATCACCAGAATGAACATGGAGATCCGTATCATCTCTGGCCTGGCTGCCCCAAGTGAGGAGCTTGGGAGGAGAGGCTGCCAGAGGCAGAGGGGTTCTGCCAGGTCCCCTTCATCTGCTCCCTCCATGCTGGCCTCTCGCTCCTACCCTCCTGGTGACACTAGAGGCACAGCCCTCCCTTGCCTACCACAGAGCAGATGCACTACCACCCCACATGCTTCACAAGACCTGCATGGTTCCATGGGGACAACCATATTGGAAGGCTTGGAGGGGCCTCCTGCCCTTCTCGGGAGAGAGACAAAAACAAGCTCCTCCTTGGTCCCACCGTCTGGAGCAGGGTCATTGTGGATGCCCCATTCCTGGAGGTGTTTAAGGCCAGGTTGGATGGGGCTTTGAGCAACCTGGTCTGGTGGGAGGTGTCCCTGCCCATGGCAGGGGGGGTGGAACTGGATGATCTTTAGGGTCCCTTCCAACCCAAACCATTCTATGATTCTACGACTGTGGCACTGCAGCAGGGCCAGGCCTCCTGCTTAGGCTGCTGGTGGGTGTCTTCAGCACCACTACCACCTCTCCCTCCAGCCAAGTCCCATTCATGAGGCATGGATCAAGATGGCCTCAGTTCGTGAACCCGAGGGCTGAGACCCTGCCCAAAGCTGTCTGTGGCAAGGACCTGGCAAGATCACCTCAGCAGCAGGAAAATGGCACCAAGGTGACCTATAGGAATAGCTCAGGTCTGCAGGAGCAGCCAGCCCCTGGCAAACAGAGGTGATTTCCAAGCTCCACACACATTAGCACGTGTCAGAGACCCATCCAAAGCCTTTGCTGCTGCTCTCGGGAGGCCAGGAACAAGCAGCAGGCACAGATCACCAAGGTTGTGTACAAAGACCTGGCGCTTGGCCGTGTTACAGCACCCTGGAACAGCTGCCTGGCTCCTGCTGCAGGCAGCTGTGTGGTGGCTCTGGTATCTAAGAGGGGGTGAGTGCTCAGCCAGCATGCACATCTGCAGGTCAAAGGGGTCCTTCCCCAGAGAACAGCCCTGCCAAACACAAATACCTACCAGCATCTTCTGCAGCTGGTCAACTGAGTGGTTGTTCACACTCTGCCCATTGATTTCTAGGATTTCATCACCCACGTGAAGAGAGCCTGCCAGCAATGGGAGAAACATGAAAATGCAGGACCAGGCAAGAGCCGCTCACCAAACCCAAGCTACACAGCTCCACCAGCCTCCCGACCTCCCTGGGGCAAGCTGCAGCCAGGACACCCTGATGTTTGCCTGGACAATGCTTGTGAAGCCACACAGGTCACCTCAGCGCGTGGGGAATGGACTCTTCCCCTCCACCCAATACACATCCAGTCTGAAGGTCATCAGGTTGCTTTCTGCTGTGTGTCCTTCAGCACTTTCAACTGGTCAAAGCGCCTGTTTCAGAGTTATTCAAACCCAACCCCAAGTACCTCACCTGAAGCCAAGTGACAGCCTCCTTATAGGAGCTTGACTTTGGGTGTTTTCAGTTTCTACACCCAGCCAGATTACAGTCTCTGATACACTGCTATAAATCAGGCTCCAGTAGTGTTATTGGAATGGCTCCTGGGTTATTTTGGCAGGGATAAGCTCAGACTTCCCACTTGGGTCCGAGGCTGGAAAAGGGGCCTCTTCTTCTAAGCACAGAACATCTCATTTCCATGTCCCCTTGGCAAGACCCACAACCAGAATAGAGCACCTATTTATTTCTTTTTGGCACTTTCTTTTGGTCTGCAGAGCCAATCCACAGCAAGCCTGTCCCACCTGTGCACTTTAGGAATGAGAAGAGCTTTCCCTGCAGTCTCTGGGGTACAATCCATCTCTCATTACAGCGACCCCATCACGAGACGGAGACAGATGGTCTCGGGTTCCTTTTTGGGAGAGCCCTTCCCCCAACCCTTCATTTCTCCCTAAATCCTCCACTGTATGAACATGACAACCATGCAGAGAGACCAGCGAGTCCCGAGTTCCTGACATATTCCTAGTGGAGGCATGGACACAGATGACCACATCACAGGGGAAAGCCAGCGATGCTGGGGAGCTGCTTTGTCTCTCCAGGGAAAGAAACCAGCTGCAGACGTGCACCCCATACACTGCCTCGTTACCTTGTCTGTGAATCATGCCCCCATGGAAGATCCTGGCCACCATGCAGCTCTGCTTGTCGTTGAGCTTCAGCGTGATTCCCTGGAAGACAGGAAAATCCATGACTGCTTGCTGGAGGAGAGAGCTCCCACCCTCTCAGAAAGTCCTCTCCAGGCCCATGTCCTTGGTGGGCTGTGCAGTGGCTGGGGGGAAGCCCTCTGCTTGGCAGCTCCTCTTGGCACAAGCATCACCACCCTTTGATGGGGCTCGCTCCATGTCCCCCAGGCAGGAGGCAGGATCCAGCACCCTCTTCCCATGGCCAAGGTCTCCAGTGATCTCCTGCTTCCCCCAAGGCCAGCCCGTTGGCACGACTCTACTTGCCCCACCGTCCCCCTGGGTGCCACCAAGGCTTTGGGATCTTGCCAGCTCTCACCATGGGCTCCTCCGTGACCTTCTCGAACTGGATGAGGCGGATCTTCCGCACCTCCCGGCCATTGCTGTGGGAGGGGCTGCCCAGAGTAGCTGAGCCGTTGGTATAAATGTCCTCGGTCACGGTGTTCGGGGACTGAGTGATGGCCTGTCGGGGCAAAACAAAGACCGGGGTTTAGGGGCTCCACCACCTGAATGGGGCCTGGGAGTGCCAGCTGTGGGGCTCCCCATGTGAGGATGCCTAGGTCACAGGTGGGGCACAAGGGGGAGGACAGACCCACGTGCTGAAGGAGAGGACAGTAAGAGCGAGAAAAGGACAAGAGCAAAAAGAGCTTCACCCTTGAAAACATGGATGTGGGCTTGATCTGCAGTTTTCCAGCTTGGGAAACACAGGAGGTAAGAAGACTTTAGAAAAGCTACAGGTGGCAGAAGCCAAGAGAGTCCACAGCTGATCATCTTCTGCAGCAACGAGTCCCAAACACTACTTGTGTGTCACAGCAGCAGCACCTGGCCCGCAGCCGGCTGGTTGTGGAGCATAAAGCCCTGGACAGCTTCACTGAGTGAACAGAGCGGTCTGGGGCCAGGCTCTGCTCTTGCTCAGTTTGCAAGTTCAACCTTTCCTCATCTACGCCAATGGGCAACCGACAGGGTACGGAGCCACAGCCACATCCAGGCACTGGAGGTAACGTGCTGCCAAGCCAGCCAGAAAGTCCCTGTTCCCCTCCCCAGCTCCCAGCTACAGGCCAACTGGTGCTGGATGGCACTGGGAGGCCAAGCAGGGGCTTTCAGACATGGGGAAACCTCTGTTCTTCATCTCCAGCACAGGGTCCTGGGCAGAGACCTCCAAACCCACCCTGCCGTGCAGCAGGGACACCGCAAAGTGAGTTGACACCTCCCAGTCCGAGAAAGCCCAGCACAGTCCTGTTAAAGCCCTCGCATATGGTGGGCAATGTCTCCCACACAGCTCCCAGATGCACCAGTTTGGCCCCAAGTGCAGTGAACTTCCCTCAAGACTCTCCCAAACTGGTGCTGGCCCAGCAAAACCCAGGTCAGCTTTGATCTGTGGCCCCTGCCCACCTTGTCACAGAATCACATGGGGTTGGAAGGGACCCTCTGGAGATCATCTAGTCCAACCCCCTGCCAAAGCAGGTCCAACCAGAGCAGGTTGCACAGGAACGTGTCCAAGCAGGGTTTGAATGTCTCCAGAGACTGAGACTCCACCACCCCCCTGGGCAGGGAGCCGTGTGTCCACACTGCAGCGACGGGGAAGATGCCTGATTTATTTTTAAGCCAACTACTTCTAAAAGAGCCAACCAACCTCCTCCTCCAAGGGAAAAGCTGACCGCGTTGGCTCCGGCTGCCAACAGCTTAAACATGGAGGAGGAGGCTGAATCCCAGCCCAGAGCAGAGCCCGGGCCAAGGACTCGTGGGGTGGAAGGAAGAGGGACTCGCAGCCCCTCAGCCTGACTTGCCAGTCCCAGCAGGGCTTGTGCTACCATGCCATTCATGGGGCAGAGGTGCCTAGAGCTGGCCCTTGGCTCTCTGCTGGCTGTCCTGGCTCGACCGAACCAGCAACTGGGAGGAGGAAGAGGAGGATGAGGAAGTTCTCCAGCCTTGCCCGAGGCCAAAGTGCCCGTGAGGTGGTCTGAGAGTCAGCACAGATCGCGCTTATCTTGGTCATGCCTTGGCAAAGTGTGACACCGTGCAATCCCCAGCTTCAAACCTCCAGGCTCAGCAGAGCCCGACGACCCAGGACTCAGCACACTCTGCTCCAGGGGCTGGGAGTTCCCGTCCCCGACGTCTCCGTCAGCTGAGCCTCCCGGCCCTGACCTTTGCTTTTTGCTGACATCTGGAGAAAACAACCAGCCCTCGACGCTGACGCAGCACCAGTGTCACCCCGGTGACTCCCAGAGAGCAAGCCTTGTCACCAGAGACTCCCTGCCGTGCCTGGGGACGGCCACCAGTCCCTTGATGGCATCTCTGAACCCAACAGGGTCCCTCAGCAACTCCCTCTGCCCCAAACAGAGCCACACTGGGATGGTGGGGGCTTTTGCTGACCACACTGAGCAGCTGGTGGATGGGGATGGGAAAACAGCCAGCTCACGAGGAGGACCCACCAGGGGTGGCAGATTCCAGCCCTGGTGTTGGGCATCCAGAAGCCAGAGACAGGGGCCATGTGGCTCCCAACGCTCCCTGCACGTGAGCTGGATGGTCGGATCGCCTACTCCTGCGTCCTCCTGGCAGCCACCAAGCTCTCGGCCCGATGTCACCCGTGACCTCAAGAGCCTTCCGAGTCATGCTGGCCGAGCTCCAGACCCTGCTTCTTACGCACTGCTGGGCAGGAAACATCTGCAAACGCTGCTAAGAGCCAGCTCGGTGGCCACCAGCCACCACCGGTTCTGCACAAGCCCTGGGCTTGGTCATTGCTGGGGCCAGCCTCGGGGCAGGCATGGGGTGAGGAGGTTGGAGGGCTGAGAGGGGTGGCAGATTCCAGCCCTGGTGTTGGGTATCCAGAAGCCAGAGACAGAGGCCATGTGGCTCCCAAGGCTCCGTGCACGTGAGCCGGATGGTCGGATCGCCTACCCCTGCGTCCTCCTGGCAGCCACCAAACTCTCGGCCCGATGTCGCCCGTGACCTCAAGAGCCTTCCGAGTCATGCTGGCCGAGCTCCAGACCCTGCTTCTTACGCACTGCTGGGCAGGAAACATCTGCAAACGCTGTTAAGAGCCAGCTCGGTGGCCACCAGCCACCACCGGTTCTGCACAAGCCCTGGGCTTGGTCATTGCTGGGGCCAGCCTCGGGGCAGGCATGGGGTGAGGAGGTTGGGGGGCTGAGGTGGGCAATAGGGCTGCTGGATGCTGGGCCCCCATTGGGGGGCTGTTTGGCCCTGCCCAGCATCCAGCAGCCCTATGGATGCCTTGCAGATGGCTGGTGAAGGTACAAAGCCAACTCCAGGTGACAATGCACAGGGGTGCCACCAGCTCCAAGGGTCAAAGAGGTGCACCCCACTTCCCTGCCTGCCTGCCTTTTCCTCAAAAACACGCATTTCTGCCCCAGGATATAGGGCACCATCTCCCTAGGTAATGTTTTCCAACAGGGAATTCGGTGAGTGTGGAGCAAGCCTCGGCGAGGACCCCCAGAGCTTGGTGTCCTGTCCTCCCTGGTGGGGTCAGCGTCATCTGCCAGGGTTGCTCCTGCTGCTGTGCTGGCTCAGTCGGGCTGCACGCCACCAGGCAAATCAAACATTAACTGGGCAGCTCGATTGCAGGAGGCTGAAGCAGCACTTGGGGGTGGCAAGCAGCACCGTGGTGCAAAGGGCACGTGCGGTGGTTTGGTTCCTGGGCTCTCCTTGCTGACCTAACCAAGAAACTTCACTATCAGGTGGCCTTGGAGGAGTGGGGCACCCTGGTGAGCATGTGGAGAAGGGTCAGACACTGCTGGTGTTGCCAAGCGGGCCCCCAAAACACGGCAGCTCGGATGCAGGAGGGAACCCTGGAGCCAGGATGCTCTGGGATTGCCCTCTCGGCTGGCAGGGAGACACGCTCCGCAGTCTCCTGCTGGGGAGAAGGATCTCCAGCTCCCTCCAGGAATCATCAGCCTTCCCATTGTCACCACAGTGCGCACAAGGAGGCTGGGGCACTGCTCAGTGCAGAGGTGTCCTGGCTCACCAACATCTCCTCCCACCTCGCCTCCCCACCGACCAGCAGATGTGTGCATCGCAGTCCCAGTACAGCTTAAAAAACAACATGTGTAAAGAGAACAAACTAGCAAAAGAAAAAAAAAACAGAACAAAAAACTCAACCCTGAGCTTGGGAGTTGCTTTTGGGCTGCTCCAGAGGGCTGGGGAGCATCACTCAGAAGTAATTCATCCCTGCCTTCTGCCTGGGGCTACTGCCTTCTCAGGTCTGCCAGCACAACCACAACCACAGGAGCAACCTCACCCAAGACCCCTTCCGGCAATATGATCCACGTATTTATTTTTTTAAAAAAAAAAGTAATTTAAACCAAACAAATTCTACTGCTGACATTGGGAAAAGGCCCAGTAACACCAACAGGTTGCAGTGGGAAGGGGGACCAGAGAAAACACCGAGGGATACAAGCGGTCACGGTGGCCAGAAGGTGCCACCGGCTCTGTGTGCCCTCACAGTGACTCCGGACCATGGAGTGCCACAATGGAGAAGGGCCAGATTTCCAAAGGAGCACAGCTGGTTTTGCTGAGGCACCATCCTCCCACCAGGAAAGGCTGATGCAGCCTTCCAGATGTGTTTGTGAAACCAGTCACCTCCGAGGGAGAGGTCAGTAAAACCACAACACTGACAGAAGAGATCTGAAGGAGCTGCCCAGCTGTTCCATCCCCACCTTCCAGACCAAAGCCCTGAAAAACAGCTTTTTCCCCACAGCCGTTACAGACTGGAACGTGGCAAAATGCATTTGAGATGAAAAAGTTGGAACCAGCCCTGCCTGCTTCATTTTGGTCAAGCCCAGAAGTTTTGCTCAGCTTTCAATGACTAGTTTTGCCCTCGGTAATTTCAGGGTTTGGTCCCTGGGGACCATGGCCTCGGTTTGCTCTGGATCCGGCCCTGGTTGGATGCCAGGAACCGCTGCCCACAGGGAAGTGTTGTGTCCCCTCTGCACCCTCAAGCTCAGCATCTCCAAAGTACCCTCCTTTTCTCCAACAAACTCCTAAAGGTCACATTTTCTGCCCTTTTTACAGCTGGGCAACTGAGTCATGGCTGATAAGGGGACATGCCCAAGGTCACCCTGCCAACCAGGTGCACAGCTGGGAATAAAGCCCACACCTCTTTGGTAAATCTCTATTTGCCATTTGGCAGATAAGGAAAAAGCTAGGCAGGCATGTGCTGGGGCTCCAGGGGAGAGGGCAAGCGCCTGCCTTCACTTGCATCTTGTTTTCTAGCAATGACATGGCCTCCACCAGCCGAGGGTTGGGGTGCCCTGCCACCATGGGATGAATGCAGGATGGCACTGCTGGAGGAATGGGGAAGAGAAACCTCCCAGTTTGACTCCAGCCAAGGAGCAGCCAGGCCCAGCACCCCTCCTGCAAACTGCTGCTGGGTGATGTCCCTGCTGTGCCACAGAGGGGCCCATGGCCACCATGGGCACGGGGATGAACACAGGAGCGACTGGCAAGCT